TTATTCTTAAGTTTGGCATCAAGACACATTGTCAAAGTCTGTACATTTCCTATGAAGCTCAGACACTGGCATCACATAGACTGGTATCTGATCCATGAACTCTAACTGGTGACTTCAGGAGAAGCTATTAACATCTGTGGGAATCTCTGCTCTCGTATAATGGGGATAATTTTAAGTAATTTTCAAGTCGTTATGAGGAAAAACCAATGTTGAGGAATGTACAAGCTTGGGCCTGTGTAAAGGCTGGATGCAATTTTATTTCTGTCTTATTCCTTCCCCTGTCCCATAAGAAGAAATAGCAGTCAGAGAGCTGGACCATGAACTATTCCTCAGAGGTGTGTTTAACACCAAGAATTAGCAATTGGATCTCCCTAAGAATGCCTTTCTAGGGAGAAGCTCGCTGTATAAAAATTATACATTTACAAAGGTAATTATACTTCTCTATGCCACCTGATTGCCTCATAATAAATACCCGCTCACAATATAGGTCTCTGTTGGTGCTGGCATCATCAGAGCCCACCTAGGATGGAAGAAAGGGACTGTCAGCGGGAGCTACTGCAGAACATTCAGTCAGAAACAATGCGGACTATGATTTTTGACAGTTAAAATAGAAGGAGTAGGGCATGAGTTCCATTTGAGATGTTTAGAGCTGGGCACTCAATGGAAACCTCTTGAATTGAGCTAAAGAGTGTAAGTAGGAGTGTAAGTAATAGCAGTATCCTTTTGAGGGGACCCTTGTGGTTCTGCCAGGAGTTTCTAGTCTTTAATGAGAGTCTCCAGGGGTTTCAGCTGACAGAATCCTGACATCCGCAGTCACTCAAAGGGCCCAAAGATGCATCTCTTAAAAAAAAAGAGGAAGGAAGAAGCTAGGCACTGTGGTGCACAACTGTAATCTCAGCACACTGGAAGATAACAACTTCAGGGTCACCCTTAGCTACATAGGGAGTTCCGAACCCTCCTGGGTGACAGGTGAACCTGCCTCTATACAAAATAGAATGAAGGAACGCAGCCTTCTGTCTGACCAGCGGCATTCATAAATCAGAAGAGGGACACTGTGAAGGAATGAACAACTGAAGAGTGAACGATGTGAGACCACATGTGGACCATCATCACAGGATCAAAGGACATAATTTGGCAAACAAAATTAACTCCAGATGACCTCCACACGTGTTCATTATTCAGCGCACATTTGCAGAGCACACACGCAGTCGCCAAGCAGGTGGTTAAGCACCTGAATGTGTCCTTGGGATATAAGGCACAGCTTTAGTCATAGAGGAGACATGCCCAACCTCATTATAGCAGACCCTTCCCTTCCTGCCTCTTCCCTCCAGGAGAATCCTTCTTGGGAACAAGGAAGGGATGGTGGCTTCTAGTAGGTAAAGAAGAGGTCTGAGAATGGAGGAGGATGGAGGATTGTTGACATTCCACAATCCAGATGCTGGGCTGTTATTTTAGGAATTTGGTGACATAGGGAACATTTTTCTCTTCCCATTCCCTCCCCTCCTTCCCACCCAGGTAACTCCTATCTGACCCTCTCCTCATGCACTCCTCCATTTCCATTCAGAAAGGGGCCAGGTCTCCCATGGGTTTGAACAAAGCATGGCACAATCAAGCTGAGTTAGGACCAAGTTCCTCTTCCTGCATCAAGGCTGCGAACAGGTTCCCAAAAGCCATGTAAGTGCCAGGGACAGGTCCTGTTCCCACCTCTGGGAGCCTTACTAACAGACCAAGCAATAAAACTGTCACACACATGCAGAGGGCCTAGGTCAGTTGACATGGTAAACATTTACTCCTGGTGAGATTGGGCTTGCATGCACGAAACTGTCCAAGAACAAAGTATGGCTAACACAAGTGGCAGAAGGCCAGTGGGATCCTGACTGATAATGGTGATGTCTGTGATAAAAATGGCGTGTGATCAGATTCCAATCAGAAGTGACAAGCCATGGTCACAAAATGCATGCATCCCAAGCAATAAGGATAACCTGTGCAAAGGCCTTGCAGTGTCTGGAATGTTTGAGAACTAGAGAGAAGACTGGTATAGATGCAGCCCCATCTGTACACCTACGTAAAATCTGCAGAGGTCAATGTCTGTTGGCTCTTTCTCACACAATTACACCAGAGATGTCAAGCTTCGTACCTGAAGTTTAGAAAAGCCTGTGCTTATACACGGGGCATAAATATTTTTCCTGAAAAAAAGTCATTAATGTTTTTCAGTCACTCCACAGCAGTGATGCAGATGATGAGGGAAGAACAGACAAACCACCCAGGACATTTCCAAGAGACTTCTGGTCAGAAAGACATATATGCATGGAAGCAAAGTGAACACAGAACTGCCTCTCCCTCCAGCACATCTCACCCTTGTGACCATGGCTCAGGGCTTCCAGGCAGAGCCTGCCTCATGCCCCCACACACACACGTCCAAGGACTTCAGTGCAGTCCAGAGAGCACAGCCAGCCATGGAGATGGAGAGAAAAAAATCTCAGCCGAGAGTCAGACTGCTAACAAGTGGAGAGTTGAGGTTGGCTTGAATCCTTAGAATTACAGACTCCGGAGTTTATTAAATAGCACCCTCTCACATATATTTTCTACTAATTCTCTGTGATAGTTCCTGCTAGCTTCTGTGCCTGAGAACTGTGTGCATTAGGAGATAATATTTTAGAAATTCATGAGCGTACTTTGTGCCAAAAAGTGCAAGCTTAAATAATTTTCATTTTATGAAATGTACATAACGATTTTGAGCTAATCCATTCTAATGGCACTGAACTCTTGAAAACTTGTGAACCAGAGTATTTGGGGAGAAAGGGGAGACTTCTACTCATCATCATATTCATCCTCTTCATGCTACCCTGGAGGGGGGATGCAGACAGAAATACAGATGAAGGTTAAGTGTGGGTCACTGGGAGAAAAGAGAAATGAGCCTGCCCAGGATCCTCCTGGTGCCCAGTTCCTCTGCTCTACACCATGATCTAGTCCTCTTCCCTCTTCACTTGATGCTGTGGAATCCACCATCCTTTACAGGCTTCGACTGCCATTTTTCTTTACCTTTAGCCTGAAAACCCAACACGTCCATTTTGCCTGCAAGAGCACAGTATAAACAGAAACCATTTTTCTTGTTATCTAAGGCTACTACATTTTTTCTATTGCAAAAAACCATAGCTATGCTCACATAAGTCAGGAGGAAAGAAAACCTTTTTAGGCATCACTTCCAATTTCACAGCTTTGAATCATTCTATTCTTTTCTCCCCATCAAAAGTATGTTCCATTAAGCTCGGGACCTCACAACTTGGAAAAACACTAACTTAAACAAATGGAAGTTGTTGAGATATGAGACAAAGGAAAATATGTTTTTAAAGTGTTTGTGTGACTTTTAATCCTGTCTAGATCATAAGCACTTTAGCTCCCAGCTGGCTGGCTCCTTCCCTGTAAATCATCTGGTGTGTGCCTGCCTGGATGATGTGCGAAGGAATCAGGTGGCCCCAGGCAATGAACAAAGACTTAGCAAGTGCCCGGGGTGGAAGGAATGTGAACTTCTTTTCTCATTGAGCCTGGTTCGGAATGCCAAGCCTTGGATAGACCCAGAGCATGCTCGGAGCCTCAGCAGTGTTAGGAGAAATGAACACTGGTATTGAGCCCTTTAGATTGCTGTGCAAAGTTACATGGAAATGACTATTGTAAATTGACCACTCTAGACCCCCAGAGCTCTGTGGGAAGCAAGAGTGGAATGATATGGATTGGCAGTGGGGTGAAAAAGGAACAGTGATGCCCCATAGGTCCTGATGGATGAGTAAGAGTTTACCAGACAAAGAAACAGCAGTGTCTCCATGCACATGATCCCCACTTCTCAGAAAAGGGAACTGAGGCACACAGAGGCTAAGGAAACTGCTGTGCTAGCTGCCAATAGCCCTGACTCAGCAGGTTATTCAAAAGACATGACCAAATGTGCGAAACACTTAATTCAGCACCTGGTTTGTGTTAAAGAACAAATGATAATGTTGGTTTGATCACACCAATCCAAACCTGTGAATCAACTTCTCCCTGACAGGAGGGCATCAATTTTCATACCCTCTTTGGGGGGAACCTGGGACATTCTCCTTGCCCTGCTCCTTATATTTTGTCCATTTCTAATTTGTAGACAATACCCATTTGTCTAACCAATGGGCTCTTGGTCAAGTGCCCTAGCAACTAAAGAAAATAAGCCACTTTACAAGCCACTTCTCCCAGACCCTCCCCGACAAACCTCTTCATTCAACACCAGGATGTAAGCTGGTGAATGTTCCTTATCTTGAAACCCCCTTTGCTCCTGTACTTCCAGTCCTCACTCAAGCAGCCCACTCTCTCCAGACAGAACCCTCAGCCATGTGTCGTCTATGTAAGGCAGAGGCCATCCAACTTGCAAGGTCACCTGGCCTTTCTCTCAGCTTCAGTGCTCACATTCCCTTCCCTGTGCTCATGCCACTGCCGCTGCCACAGTCTGAGCACCATTTAAATGTGTGGAATATTTAACAAGGCAATACAATCAGAGCCAAGGCCTACATCTCAGTGAGCTTCCAGGACATGAACAGCCCCTGATGGTCAGTCCTGCCACACGGGATTCCAGCAACATCTTGTTTTAGTTCGGTTCAGTTTTTCCACCCATAACTTGAAGTTAGATACTTATTCATCGTAATTACCAGCAAATGTTGAAATAATGGATGGATGGATGGATGGATGGATGGATGGATGGATGGACAGATGGATACACAAAGGGCCCCAATATATAATGGATCACAATCAGAAGACAGGAACAATATGGTTGAAGTTATGGATCTATACTTAAAGTTTTGAAAAATTTTTCAAATGTTTCCATCATGAAAGACCAACCTGAGAAAATAATGTTACAGGAAGACATAATGTTTGAATGAGATCACCTCCTTAGGGAATCCAAATAAGTCCTATGTTCCCCCTTTCCTAATCCATCACAACCAACTTCAGTGGCATTCTTTGTTCTCATACATAGAACACAGAGGTCACATTCCACATGGAACTCCCTGGTCAAATGCTAGCAACAAAGAGGAAAGAGAAGTGGATCTGAGCTGTAGCCCATGGTCAAATACCAACCTCTGCATCTGTGACCAGATGGATTTGGGTAAACCCAGCAAAGAGAATACTGTATCACTCTATCAGGTACCACAAGTCAATGCATATGGACCTCTGTGCGTCTAGGAGCCTATGTGTACATGTATACATTCTCTCTCTCTCTCTCTCTCTCTCTCTCTCTCTCTCTCTCTCTCTCTCTCTCTCTTTCAGAAAAGCTCTGTTTTTTTAATGGTTATATTAGAAAGAGCCTTGAAACTCCCTTGCTAGCTTGAGTTTCCACTAAAATACATGATTACTTTCCTGAAATGTCATTTTAATTACAGAAATTCAATAATGAGCCCCAAACACCCTCCCATGTACCCTGTGACAAGCACTAGTTGAGGTTTGTTCTTTTTATTATTAATAATCGAAGGCTGTACACTAAATTAGGTGACTTTTGGAGATTGTCATTGGAAGCCTGGCTAACAGAGGCCTGTGGGCAGCTGCTTGGCATTCAGCTGTGTTATCGTGAGAGATAGAGCTGCTTAGAAATCTGCATAGATTAATAAATAAGTCTTGATATAAACATATTGATCCAGATGCCCTGGAGAGAAAACACCCCATTGCCTCCCTTTGTGCAGAAACTGAGTACTGCCACATAAGACTTAGAGTTAGGGAAATAGTCACCTCTCATGAGGGACTACTCCATCTCCAGGAAGTGGGGAGATGCTACAGATACATCTTTGACAGAGACACAGATAACTACTTCCCAAAGTTCAGGCCCCAAGACGAACTCCAAATAGTAACATTCCCTCATGATATTCACTGAGCCCTTCACTCAACAATCAGGTATTCATTTATTCAACCATGATTATTAATGCAGATCTGTTTCTGTGTGAGATGGATCACCCAGGCGAAGCATGGGATGTTAACATTTATGTCTGAGGACTCTAGGGCAGAGACAGACATGGCAAGTTCTTGTTGAACACTAAATGTAAATCTGGTGTGAGACTCAGGAGTCACTGTGGACTTTGTTCAGTGCTGACAACAGTTCCATGCCCATCCACAAGTAGCAACCCACTGGTAGAGTAAGGCTCTCTAGTGTTCTCTCTCTCTCTCTCTCTCTCTCTCTCTCTGTCTCTCTCTCTGTCTGTCTCTCTCTCCTTTCCTCTTCTCTCTGCATGTAAATATGTGTATGTGTGTCTCTCTATATGTCTGTCTCTCTGTGTGTCTCTGTCTCTGTGCACGATTCTATATCTCTACGTGTGCCTGTCTCTATACATATATGTTTATCTCTGTGTGTATGTCTCTGTCTCTCTCTCTCTCTGTGTCTGTCTCTGTGCATGTGTGTCTGTCTCCCTGTGTGTGTCTGTCTCTATGTGTGTGTGTGTCTCTGTCTTTTTGTGTGTTTATCTGTCTCTGTGTGTATGTCAATCTGTGAGTGTCTATTTCTGTGTGTGTGTGTGTCCCCCAGAAACTGGGTAACACCCCCTATATCTCTCTTTGTAAGCTGAGAAGCCTGCTGTGACTTTGCTGACTCCCATCTCCTCTCCTCCAAGGCTACAAACCCAGCTGCCTCCAGCCCGCCCCCACAATATCTGAGTTATAACTTTTTTTATCTGGTGCCTCTATGTCTTTATGGTATAAAACCACCCCACACCTCAAAACCTGTAAGAGTAAGAAACTGCCTTTGTTCTCCAGAGTTGAAGCTTCTTTCTCTTTGGTACCCCATCACACTGTCCCTAGTGGCCATGCCTCCTGATGAGGCTCTTGTTCATGACACCATAGCTCTCCCAAGAAATATCTGATGGGTAATTCATCTCAGCATAATCTCTAAGAACCTTTCATCTTCTCTTTTGAATAGCACCAAGGGAAGGACTGTTCTGTTATCCCTAGTTACCGTCCTTGTGGCCATTTCTTGTCTATTAGTTTAAGGACACCTGGAAGAGTCATGGAATACTGGGTAGACAAGGAATCCAAGATAACATCTAACCCATTGACTCACATTTCCTCAGTCACTATTTCACAAAAGAAAGATTTTGTGGAACTCCAACTTATGGAGAGGATGGAAGAGGGAAGCCCGTGGCTGAACAGAGTACAGGCCACCTAGCATGGAACCACAGGCTCTCTGAACAGCTACTGAGAGAGACCTACAGAATTGGGGGTTCCTTGAGACATGAAGCCATTAGACAATGTCAAGCTTACAAATCTGATAGTCAAGGTCACAGGGATGAGAAAGATACAGTTTGACTTGGTCTTCAAGTCTGTCCCTGATATCTCAGTATACTGACATTTTGGCAAGAGGAATTATGTGGGAAAAGAGTTATGATGGATGGCATAGTTTGAACATTAAATGTTGAAGTACATCATTGGGATGGGTCTTGGGTTTACTACCTGGACACACTTGTTATTCTCTAGCTCTGCTTCCTGATTGCAGGAACAATGTGATGAGGCAACTTCCTGCTCCTACTGTGTTGTGTTCCCTACCATCATGGACTATATTCCTCTGGAACTGTAAGAAAATAAGCCCTTTCTCCTGTAAGTTATTTTTGTCAGGATATTTTATCATAGTAACAGGAAAGAAAGTAACTCAGAAGTCTTGAATTTGAGATCTAGTGGGGGCAGCCACATGACAGTACCCATGAAACATGAGGTAGCCACATACAGAGGTCTGCAGCTGGCAAGAGAACGACATGTACTCCTTAGTGTGGGAGCTCTCATGACAGGGAGGATAAGGAATGACTAACACAAAGAAAAAGTCCTTCAGCTACAAAGAGCCAAAGAAGAGATGTAGAGAGGGTCAGGGGTTAACATCTGGATATTTGCTCCAGATGAAAGGTTTGGGGCATTGTTTTGAGATGTAGAGAGGGTCAGGGGTTAACATCTGGATATTTGCTCCAGATGAAAGGTTTGGGGCATTGTTTTGAGGTGGAGTTTGATGTTCACTTTGAATTATGGCAACATAGGCCATCCATGGGGGAGACTGACCTGAGATGTCAGCCCCTTCCTTTGGACCAGTTATTTCTTTATCTATCCATGGCTCTTCTGTGTCTCAGCCTCAGGAGGGAGAAATGTGATATGTGAAGCCTATGTGTCCTTTTCCTAAGGGATATTATTACAATTTCAAGAATTTAATGAGCCAATTTTAAACACCAATTTAAAAAATGAAATTATTGGCACTAATAATTAAATAACCTTAAAGCAGCAAGTACCCAAAATGCATCACTCTAATTATATTTCTATATTTTCTGTCTGTGCTCATGATATTATTTGCAGATATTAGATCCCTATGGCAGAAATACTGTAATGGGGTGCAGCCACATAGCTTGTTATTGGCTATGGTAATCTGGGGGATCAAACCAAAGTCCTTGGACCTGCTAGGCAAACACTCTACCACATAACCACAAATCTCCTTCCAGGTCTTCATGCAGTGATAACTCATTGGCAGCTTGCAATCAACCTTGTGGGAATATTTATTCTATGGAAATAGGCATAGACTATAAACCAGTGCATGCAGATCCCCAGTAAGAGACGGCTAGACTCCCTAAAACTCCATAGCATGCCTCTGGTCAAGGCTTTCTGCAAGGCCTGGGTGGCCTGGGTGGATTTTCCCAGGTAGATTTCTGGCTCTGTGCTCAATGAGTTCTGTTCATGGCTTTTGTTTGTTTGTTTTGTTTTCTTTTTTACCCTTGCTTTGGAAAATGTTGTCACAAATATTAAAGTCAGAGCTTGCAACCATTTGGAGTCCCATTAGCAGACAGGGGTTGGCAAGATAGTTCAGTGTTAAAAACACTTGCCGCTCTCGCAAAGGACCAGGGTTCAGTTCCCAGAGGCTACAACAGGAACCACACAACCACCTGTAACTCCACTTGCAATGCCCTCTCCTGCTCCTGCCCCAGGCGCCTGTGTTCATGTGGTGCATATAAATTCACACAAGCACACACACATATGTTCATAAAAATAAATAGACAGTTGGGAAGCACCATGTTGTTTCAGAAGGCCATGTTCAATGTTTAGTTCCCACCTTCCACATCCAGGGTTCACAGAACAACTGCAACTTCACCCCCAGGGCATTCCAACACATACACATGCACATGCACACATACACACATACACACAATTAAAAATAAAATAAATCTTAGAGCTGCAACAGCCCATCAGAAAATGTGCATGTGTTTACTAAAACCAGTCACCAGGAGTAGCCAGCCATTTAGACACACAAGATGGCACAGGAGAATGTCCTAGACACTTGGAACTTAGCAGGTAGGGCAGTGAGAGAGGGAGAGTGTCACAGGGCACAAGGCACTAGAGCAAAAAGGAGAGAAGACTTCCTTCCTGGATTCTGCCTTTATCCTTCATTGCCAAGGTCTTTGCACGGGGGTTGACAGTCTCGAGAAATCAGTTATTAGCTTTATTACATCTGTAGTTATTATTCTATTCATCGTGTTCACACCTCGGGCCATCCTATTTACATAATGAGAAAGAGGATCTGCTGGAGAGGAGGGGTGTGTGTTGATTGTCACCAGCCTGCCTTGTTAGTTGACATAGTAAATAACATTCACGTCCTGGGCTGCGGCTCTAGGGGATGTTCTGTTCATTTTAGTTATCATCTTGTTTTTCTCCAATTTGGTTGGGGAGCTTTTCATAGAACCTTTCAGATAAAGAGACCAGCATTATTTGCTGGTACTTTAGCTACTCTGTTTCTGGGAGATGGATGCGGCCAGTCAGTTTCCCGGCTGAATGATGCTGATGCACCCGGGCTTTCTATGCATTTTGACCTGAGAGTGTTTTTCCCTAGTTCATGTGTGGGTGGGCTCAGATTTCTCCTCCACTCAGCAACCTGTTGTACTGATGGACTTTAAAAGCTCCAGCCGGAGCAAGCCACAGGATGTACAGGAATAGACGTTGGATGAAAAAGATAGGGATCCTTGTTCTAAAAGTAGGAAGAGAATTTTGCCTTTTCAAGATTCTCAACTCACTGTGGAGTTTTTATTTGCTACACAAGAAAATCAAAGGGTAAAAATAGACCCTCCCAGGCACTGGGCGTTCTCTTCTATGGTAATCTCACACCTGGCTTAACCTGTCCAGTCTCGGAGCTCTGGCCTATGTTTGAGGAAGGGCCTGAGACATTGGGCTGGATGAAGGAATGGGTGGCTAAGAACCTGTGACAGGAAAGCTGTGCTGCCTGTGAAATGAAGTCACAGACTCCAGCTCACATATCATTGCTCCATTGACCTTCATGAGTACAACATATTTGAAAATACATTAGGAATTCCAAGTTGATGACCACTGAACATTAATTCTATAAAGACAGGTGTGTCTTGTAAGCACAGGGCATCATACAATATCCCCCACCCATGAAGCTACCCTTAACTGTAAACTTGCCTGTGCTATCTGACATGGTGGCAGTTGACACACCACATGCACGGAACAAGCAGTATGTGCTAAAGATTGCGGGTGCCAGAAAGGAAGAAGGAAGTGCAGGAAGAGGGTGAGAAGGGACAGGGACAGGACTGAGGAGACAACTGATCCCATGTCTTTGCAGACAGCTGGTGGCTGCCCTCCATCTCACCCCTGATACAGCCTGAAGTTTCTATATCTAAAAGAGCAATATGTGAAGGCACTTGTTGTAAACGACCAGTCATAGCATTAAAAGTACTTGCTAAATATTTACTAAACACATGTTCTCAGCCATAAACAAAATGGATACATCCAAGTCTTTGCCTCTGTTTTGGGAAAAAGACCCAGCTTAGGCCAAGCTCTTGATACTGGGTGTTAAGAAGCCCCAAGTAGACTTAGGGGAGAACGGATCATACTTTTTTGTCCAACCCCCATTGGCTGGAAGTGTTCTGTCAGATTTTTTTTCTTTCCTCTCATTATCATGAAAACAAAAGTATGTCATGTAAAGTCTTCCCTCTGTGCCTGGGACACAATAGTGAGAGAGAAAATGAGCTCAGGTTTCAGGCAATTCCTGGGCTGCAGCTTCCGTTTCCTGCTGGGTAGTTAGAATATAACATATAGACTGGAGGTGGTTCTGTCTTCTCTTATAGAGTTCATACAAGGAAAATCCAGCAAGATGCCCAGGAACAGACAGAACACCATAAAGTGCAAGAAAAATCTAGTCTTACATTACTACACCCTTGGGCTGAGACCCATGAGGCTGGCTTTCCAAAAACAGATTAAAGAACATCCTTCCTGGATGTTCAGGAAAGTTCTGGTCATTTAGATCAAGACCCAGCTTGTTTACCTAGCAAAAAAGATATTCTTATTTCTGGCCAGAGATTCCCCTCACCATCTGCTTCCTGATTTCTCTCTACCACTGTCCACCAAACACCTACGCCTGGGGAATTACTCTCCACTCACCCCATACAACCGTGACTTTCAGAAACCACACAGCAGCAGACATTTAGAGTTTAGAGTTAGTGCCTCGTACAATGCTTCCATGGACAGTGGGCTGAAAGGGGTTGCTGGAGATTCTCAGCCCAAGGCTATCTCTTCCATGGTGTCTAAGTAGGAAGCTGGAAACCTTTAGTTCCATGTCCCTAGGGACAAGAACCCCTCACGCTACCATACATTCTTATAGTCACTGGAAAATAACATCATTCAGAAGCTTCCATGGGTCTGCTTGTGCGTCTGCTGGGATAGAGATCAGGGAATGAGGGGAAAGGGGAATGATAAAGGAGTGGGAAGAAAGTGATCTTGGCAAGGCTTAGCTTAAACACAAAAAGTTCCAACGTATTAAACTTAATAAGAGGTACGCTATCTGCTGGATGAGAGTCACACACTAGAAAGTCCACATAGAATGGGCTGACATGAATGATGCAGAAAGGAGACAGTGGTGACCAATAAAGGCATCTAAAGTCTATATAGGACTCACAGCAGTCTGGCCTTTGAGAAGGAATTGGCTATTATTACTCTACTTCCTGGAGGTTCCCTGGGTGATGATTGGCTACACAACAATGGACCAGTGTGCCTCACTCCTGCGCACTGCACAATCACTGACCATTTGGGGGTGACCTCTTTCAACTGTCCCTTATTTGTTTTCTAGCAGCTGTGTCACACTGCTGACTCATTTTGAGGTCACAAACCAAGGGAAACAAAACAACAAAACCCAAAGCAGTCCAGATTCTTGTTCACAGAGAATCAAAGTTCAGTTCACAGAACTGCCTCTCCACTCATGACCACCGAGCGTTACTCAGGGCCCATTTTCCCTGACGAATTGCACACACAATTAAGGGCAGGAACCATTATCTTGTCCTTGGAGTCAGGAGAAAAGGAGTGAAACATGCTCTACTTAGCGAATTCATTGCCTTGCACAGCAAAGGTCTCTTCCGGATAGGAACATGGACAGGCTACAATAATGAGAGTCATTTCCTGGAGATTTGTGGATCCAGTCTCTTTTCTTAGCAGTTGTACGTCACACTGTAGAAAAGCAGCCAGGCTTTTGGCAGAGTCCCTGTCTGTGACATTAAAAAGCCAGTGAGTCACATATGACAGTCCAGCTTCTGGGTCAGATGGCAGTGGGGGGCAGGGTTAAAGAGGACATAGAAGAAATCCTAGACGCACAGAAGACATTTCATCTGGACTTTTCTGCTTCTGAGAAATACAAGAAACATCAGAAGAGCCAATGACATAGTAACATGCTTGCTGTGCAAGCATGAAGACCTGAGTTTGAATCCCCGGCACCCCTGTTTTAAAACTGCTGAACATATAGCACAGGGTTGTAATCCCAACACTGAGGAGGCAGAGACAGGAGGATCCTGGGGGCCTGCTGGTCCACTACTCAAGCCAAATCAGCCATCTTCAGGTACCACTGAAAGAAATTCAGTCTTTGAAAATAAGGTGGATGGCTCCTGAGGGACAATGCCCACAATGAACTTTGGTTCTTATGTATATCTCCATAAGCACACACATATGCATAGACGTTTACACACACACACACACACACACACACAGGAGAGAGAGAGAGAGAGAGAGAGAGAGAGAGAGAGAGAGAGAGAGAGAGAGAGAGAGAGAGAGAGAGAGAGAGAGAGAGAGGAACAAACGAATATTGTCACACCTGGCATCCTTGGGGAGGAGATCCAAGTAGAAAAGGCAGTTGCAATGGTTTTCAGGATACCAATCTTGCTGCTATTCCTAAGTCCCCAGAGTAGACACAATTCTCATATCCATCTCATGTAGACATTCCAAAATATAACAACACCTCAGAGATACTAATTTATAAATGAACTCAAAACCTCTAAGATTTCTGTTTAAACAACCTGCTTAGTTAGCACTGAGGCACTGATTCTCAAACTGTAACCCACAGTATCACCAGTGACTCCTTACATAGCCCAGTGTTCTCCAGCATCTCCAATGCAGTGAGTTCAGAAGACGACTGAGGATTTATATTTCTTACAGATATGTAAGGATACTTCAGGATTTTCTGATACTGCTGATCTAGAGGTCCCACTTTGAAAATCACTCTGCCCAAAAATAAATACTTCTCTTCATAGCTGAAAAAAAGAGTAAACATAGCCCTTTCCTTACTCAAATGCTGCCTAAGGAGAACACAGAGGCGCCTGAGCGGGGAGTCCTCCAGGTCTGCTGTCTAACAGGTCTTCTGGGAATCTTAGTAAATTCAGATCCCAGTTCAAGAGGTTTGGGGCAGGGTCTGATACCATGTTTTTCTGTTCATTTCCAGGTGATGTTGTGGGTGTTTCTCTAAGATTCATCATAGATTCCATCACAAATTTTATCTTCACTTGTCATCTGAGGGTAGGTCACTCTTCCATAGCACAATATTTCATTCTGCTTATGCAGCCTGTGCTGCAAGCTAAGAACCTTATGTGGAGGCAGCGATTTTCAATTCCAAAACAATTACGTTTTTGATCAGAAAGTCCTTTGCAGAGAAGAAGGTTATATGTTGGATTGTGAGTATAGCTCGATGGAAGAGTGCTTATCTAGCATGCCCAGAGCCTGGACTCTGTCCACAGAACTGCACAAAAAATGGGTATGGCGACACACACCTATAATTTCAGCACTTGAAAGGAGGAATCAGGCAGACTACAAGTTCAAGATGATCCATATGAGCAGAAAGTTTGAGCCTAAATTGGGCTACATAATACCCTGCCAATAAATAGGTATGTAGATAGATAGATGATAGATAGATAGATAGATAGATAGATAGATATGGATAGATGGCAGATGATAGATGATTGATAGGTAACACATAGATAATAGCTAGATGATAGATGGTTAATAGATTGCTGATAGAGAGCTATATAGTTGGTAGAGTATTGACAGCAATTATGCATACATTCATACATTCATGAGTAAACTTATCTCCTAAGATTAGTGAACTAATTTTGTCTAGTCTGTCTCTTGGCATTTCACATAAAAATATTATTTGATAGCACAACTTTACTCACAAATGAAAATTTATAATTAATTATAAGTGAAAAAGTCCTATTTCTGCTAAAGTTACACTACCTTTTAAAGTGGAGGGAAGTCTTTGGTCCTTATTTCCAGCAGCTGGTTTGAGAAGAATCATGAATTCCTAAGGCTTTTCTACCTACCAATAATAAGGGGACATTATCTACTTTTAATGATATGAACTCTCCAGTTTCACCTAGATTTTAAAGAACATGTCAAAGTGCCATTCTAACATAGTTCTGCTGTCAACTTGACATACATAGGAAAAGGGAACCTCAGATGAGAAATTGCTTCCATCATATTGGTCTGTGCCCATGGCACTGGGGTTCTTTTCTTTCTATATTTATTTATTTATCTTACATCCTGGCAGCAGTTTCTCTTCCCTCCTCTTCTCTTAGTCTATCCCCCCATCTCCTCTCTACCCAATCCTCTATCCACTCCTCCTCCATTTCTATTTAGAAAAAGGCAGGCCTTTCATGGATAGCAACAAAACATGACTTATCAAGTTATAGTAAGACTAAGCACCTCTCCTTGTATTAAGGCTGGGCAAGGCAATGCAGTATGATGAATAGGGTCTCAAAAGATTGTAAAAGAGTCAGAGTCAGCACTGCTGACTTTTAGGAATCCCCCAAGAAGACCAAGCTACACAAGTGTCGCATATACGCAGAGTACCTAAGTCAGTCCCCATACCAGATCCCTGGTTGTTGGTTCAGGCTCTGTGAGGCACTATGAGCCCAGGTTAGTTGATTCTGTGAGTTTTTATTGTGGCGTCCTTGATCCCTCTGGCTTCTGCAATCCCAATCAAAAGACCTGTATGACATGTTCTTGATTGTTAACTGATATAGGACAGCTTAGACCATTTTGCATGGTACCATCCTCATGAAAGTAGCGTGTGAGTATAAAAATGGTTACTGAACATGAACCTGGAAGTGAGCCAGTAAGCCACTTTCTTTCATAGTCCCTGCCTTTGTCTCTACTTGAGGTCCTTCCCTGACATTCCTCAGCAATAGGTCTGTAACCTATAAGATGAAATAAAACCATTCCTCCCTGAGTTGGTTTTAGACATGGTATTTCATCACAGCAACAGGAAAGCAAACTAGAACACATTCAGTTTTAAGATGACTGAAGAATATAGACACACATGTACAAATGCATGTAAGCACATATATATGGATGGATAGATGTATATATAAATATATCTTGCCCTCCTGTGTTGACAGTTATGTTTAAAAGTAGTTAATGCTGACAATAGTACACTTAAGCCTGTGAATGGATACACATTGGTGGCATTATCAAATATTTCCATAGTTTAGGGAAACAGTTGGCAATCTGTATGCATGAGAAGCTCAACAGTTGCTAACTGACTTGGCAATCTTACCTTGCAAAATTTCTCCCTGGAAGTAAAATTATATAGGACTACACTGAAGCCTAGCAGTTTCACACCCCAAGAAAACCCAGGAGCAAGATATGTGCTTTGTAACCTGGGAGTAGCTGCTAACCTTGTGGTTTATTAATGTATTTAAGTGTCACTGTATTTATGAAGATGGAATTGCACATACAAAGGCCTAGGCACAAAGAAGATGCTAGAGATGGGCTCCAATGATCATTTGTAACAAGACAACAGAGAACATGCTAAGAAAAAGAGTCAGAGCTGTGACTCTATCGGGAAAGTTGTCTAATGAACCAATCACAGCTTCTGCTTTTGTTTCTAAGTACTATGAAAGATAGATGCTAAAGTCAGAGATTCTGGGGCTGGAGAGATGATTCAGCAGTTAAGGATGCTTGCTGCTCTTGCAGGGGACCTGAGTCCCAATACCCATGCCAGGTGGCTCACGACTGTCTGTAACTCCAGTTCCAAGGGATTCAATGCCCTTTTCTGGCCTCCACTGTCATGGCTTACACATGTACTCACATTCATACACACACACACACACACACACACACACACACACACACAATCTCTTTTGAAAGTAAGATAATGCAACTTGAATCTGGGCTCTACCCCTTTGCAATGTTCTACTGTCAGAGATATGGCATGTCTGATCTTGATTTTCTTTTCTTTCTCATTGCTCTGTCCACTCCCAGCATTGTTAATGAGATACAGAGCTACTTGGGGACCCTGTAAGTCAACCCTGCTTGGTAGATTAGAGTACATTTGGTTCTTGTCATAAACAAATACCCAATAAGGGAACCTAGGGGAGAAAGGTTTAGTTAGGGCTCAGAATGCAAGAAGCTGTAGTCCCTTGTGGTGTGGAAAGCATGGAAACAGGAACAGAAGGTGGTTGATCACCTTGTACATACAGTTAGGAAGCAGAAAGCAGACAGAAAGTGGAGCTGGACTGTCAAAGTCAAGACCCATCTCTAGTAATGCCCTTCTTCTATTGAGGTTCCACCTTCTAAAGATTACACAACCTTCCAAAACAGAATCACCAGCTAGGGACCAAGTGTTCAAACATGTGGGTCAGGGTGGGGGCATTTCACATTCAAACCACAGCCTGGTGATACAATTTGATATTTCCACAAGCTGCCATTTTACAGCCTCTGCACCTTGGGCAAATGGTTCAGGACACCTTGCCTCAGTTTCCTCTTCAATACCTCAAGGAGATAAATACCCAAAAAATAGATTATAAAATATTCAGAGGCATTTACCATGTCACCTCCCACACAGGCAGCATTCAATTGCAGCTATACTATCTGTCTATCCAAGAGTTCTAGGGATGGAAGCTTCCATTTTTCTCCCTGCTGTATGGATTGATGCAGGAAAGGACCCAGTATTCTAGAAGGCAGCCTAGAGATTTATGTCTGAAAAGAGAGGGGTGTGATGCTCGGATAGATCAACCAGCTCAGCTGTGGTCAGTTCATCCATTCCTAGGTTTAGAAAAACCACTAGGAGCCATCCAAGTTACCGCTTCCAAGTTCAAACTACCACCACCCACAGATAGGTGGACACAGTGCTTCATTCCCTGTAGAGCAGGAAGTGTGGTTTGTGAAAAATGACTTCAAGGGGGAAGAAATTAGAGCCCAGACAGACAACATTTTTCAGTGTTCACTATAATTACCAGACAACAGTCAGCCTTTCGATTTGCTTTGGGGATTGGCCCAATTGGTTAGTAGTTGGCTTCTGTTTCAAGAGGCAACTGAATTCTCTGAAAACAGAGCAGGGAGGGTGCTGTAGTTGTCTTGTCAACTGACATCATATGAACAAGTAAGAACCTTCAGGTAAGGGGTTGAGGAGACTCAGCATTTTCTGAAATGGGAGGTTCTCTTATTCCCATTGAGAAATAGACAGAGAGAGCTGGGGATATGGCTCTGTCACTAAGTCTTGCCACAAAAGCCTGGCGACTTGAGTTCAATTTTCAGAATCCACACAATAAAAGCTGGGCGTGGTGCATGCTTCTAACCCAAACACTGAGGAGACAGAGACAGTCAGATCACTCACCAGCAAGCTTAGCCCACTCATCATGTTCCAGGAAGATCTTATCTAGGAAAACAGTGCATAAGGAATAAACTCTGCCACCCTGCCCTACACACACACACACACACACACACACACACACACACACACACACACACACAGAACACCCTGGAGAAAACCATGCGGCAAAGATGGATTCTCTTTTGTCCATTATTTTCTCTAACATCTAAAAGGAATGTTTCTCTAAAGTCTAAGAGGTGACTAATGCGTGCTAGAGGGACACATTAATATATGACTCTAAGGACTTTAAAAATATATGCACAGATAAGATATGCACCTGAACAGCTGGGTCATTTTAAAAAATCCTATATTTATGAATTAAAACATTTTTTATTTTGAGAACAAGTGCATAGGCAGATTGTGTTCTATTGAAGTTTTGGAAGAGAATCTCAGGGGAGGGGTATGAGACCATTCCCAGGGAGGAGTACCACTCAACAGGTTCTTTACATTCTTATAGTTATGCAGCCTTTGGGTGTGTGCTTTAAAGTGTGTAAATGAATCAAAGATGTGTCTGTCCTTTATCTAGATGAAAAATCTAGTTTTCCCAAACTTTACAAATAATGCCTTCAAAAATATGTGCTGTAAGCAGGAGTCCACAGTTATTAAAATGCTCACTGTGGCTCAAAACGAGTTTTTGCTCAGAAGATAAAAGCACACAGCATGCATTGGGCAACAAACTTTTGATTTAATTTTTTTCTTCAAAGAAGACATCAGACTAAGAAAATGTAAATGGGGGCTAGAGAGGTGGTTCAGTGAGTAAAATGTTCACGGTAGAAGCACAAGGACCTGAGTTTGGCTCCGCAGAACCCATGTAAAAGTAGCCATTGTTTACCCACTGCCAACCCTACCAGGCTCCAGTGGTCACACA